AGCTCATTAAAGGACTAACTTCAGATTGTGCCTTAAGGTCTCTACCCAGGCCACATATTCTGATCTACTCTTTTGACCAGGAGTTTTCTGTTCCTGGGCTTTTATTGCTATGCTAACAGTACAAAAGGCAAACATTTCCTTTTCTTTTTTTTTTTTTTTTTTTGAGACAGGGTTTCTCTGTGTAGCTTTGTAGACCGGGCTGGCCTTGAACTTACTGAGGTCTGCCTGCCTCTGCCTCCCGAGGGCTGGGACTAAAGGTGTGTGTCACCACCACTCGGGGATTTATATCTAATCTTTTTCTCAGTGTCTGCTTTTAAGAAAGCCAAATCTAAGATATGGTCCATTTCAGGAATCTAGTTCTTAAGGTCACAAGAAGTAAGGGTGCATTAGCACTTCCCATTGCACTGTGGAGTCCTGGATATACATTCCTGGTTTCTTAGCTCTGAGTGCCTGTCAGAAAGACTTAACAGGCAACTTCCGAGGTTGTCTCTATGGAGTGGGTGGAAGCTGTTCCAAAACACAGGGCTCACCCCTGTGTCTGGAGCCACTTTAATAACCGACCACCATTTGGTCAGTTTTCTTGTGCTTTCAAGTATGTTTAGAGAAGCATTTTGCTTAACCCTACTAACTTGGAGAATTCTCTACAAAGAGAGAATTAGTTCCAATTTCTAGAACTTTCCCTGATTTTTTCTTCCATGTATTTTTTTTTGCAGTGTTGTCTGTGAGTGACAGATTGACATTCTGCTGTCGACCCACACACTACTCCCTTGAACTATATGTCAGTGTGCATGTGTGCGATCCTAGTGTGTGAGATCAGAATGGCCGAGTTGCGGCCTCGGCTTCCTGGGCAGCTGCGATTACAGGTGCCCACCATCACCTCTCAGTGCCCTTTCCAGGCTGGCATTACATTCTACTTTTTAGAGAGCTTGTATAGGAACACTGCTTACTCCGTGTCTTGGTCACTTTTCTGCTTCTGTGACCAAGCATTCAAATATATGGGGCTGTACCTAGTCAAACCACATTTCACTCCCTGGCCCCCATAGGCCTGTAGGCATATCATAAGGCAAAATGCATTTAGTACAACTGTCTATCACTGTCTCAACCTGGTTTAAAAATGCAAAGTCTCTTCTGAGATTCATGCAATTTCTTAACTAAAATCCCCTGTCAAATCAAAATCTACAAACAGATCACATACTTCCAAAAAACAATGGCTCAGAATGTATGTTAGTATTCTAAAGGCGAGGGAAGGGAACATATTGAGTGAATACTGGACCAAAGCAAGCCTGAAAACTAGCAGGGCGAACTCCAAGCTCTGCATCTCCATCTGATGCCAGATCTTCCTTCAGATCTCCAACCCCTTCCAGCTTGGTCAAATGCAGCACACCTCCTCCTCTCCGTTTGGATCCACTCCCCGTTAGCAGCTCTCCTTAGCGGGTGTCCCATGACTCTGGCATTTCCAACAGCTTAGGGTCTTCAACACAACCCGGGCTTCACCTTCACTGCTTCATGCAATGAAAGTGTGGTGGTCTGAGTAAGAATGGCCCCCCAGGCTCATATATTTGAAAGCTTAGTCACCAAAGAGCAGCACACTTTGAAATGGTCTGTCTGGTACTCCATGCAGGGACACCCCAGATACACGCCCGGCCTCAGTGGCCTTCCTTAGCCACTGAGGGAGATTCCACAACCCTTTTCTTGTATTCTTGACTCTAAATCCAGAACCAAATGGCCAAGGCCGCCAAGTTCTGCAGCTCGATGGCACTGAAATCTCTCCCCTCCTTTCAGTTAGATTTGCTTTTCTACTGTTGATGGTTTCCTTCACCGCTTAAGTTTTTAATTCCTTTTCGCAACTTGGAAACTTCCTTGCATGGGGTCTTTCTTGCCCTGAGGTCATCACTCCATTCTATTTAGCATCAGGCTTCCCCTTAAACTTTGGCTCCATTACACTTCCTGGTGCTCTTTTCTGCCCACACTGCACACTTGATGTTTGCCTTTGTGTCCATCTTTCCCCTTATCATCATAGACATTCATATGAGTGACCACTGGTAACCACACGACACAGTCAACACTAGCCTGTCTAGAAATCTCCTCCTACGGTGTTGTTAACCCAAAACTCTTCACATTAGCTTCAGGCGGAGTTTTGGAACAAGGGCAAAAACAGCCACATTCTTCACCAAAATACCATTAACAATAGTCTCTAGGCCACTTACTAGCATTCTTCCCCTCTAAAATTTCTTGATCTGAGCTGCCATACTTCAACTTGCCCTCAGCGCCATCTTTCATGCTTCTACTGGCATGGCCCATTAAACCCTGCTTAAAGCATCCAACCACTTCTCTGGCCCAAAGCCCTCATTTCATCAAAAAGCATGGTCAGGCATGTCACACCCAAACCCATTCCTGGTACCAACTTCTCTCTTAGTCCCTGTTCTACTACTGCGGTAAAGGGACACATGACCAAGGTAACTTTTATACAAGAAAGCATGTAATTGGGGAATTGCTTACAGTTTCAGAAGTTTAGTCCATTATCATGGCAGAGAGGATGGACGGTGGCATGCAGGCAGCCATGGTGCTGGAGAAGGAGCTGAGAGTTCACTATCTTGATACACAGGGGGTAGCAGCAGAGTGAGAGAGACAGAGACAGATACTGATTGGTCCTGGCATGGCCTTTGGAAACTACAAAGCTCACCCCCACTAACACACTTTCTTTAACAAAGCATCAAATACATGGGGATCATTCTTGTACAAACCATCACACATTTCTTCATGTGATATATGATTACAACTCCATGTCTTTACTTGTCCCCTTCCCAGATGAAAACTCTCCTTAATGTGTCACCTGGGGTGGGGGTGGGGATGGGGGCAGTGCCAGGAAGGTTACCCACCCACACCACTTAGGTGACTTGTATGGCTTGCTTTGAGTGAGGAAACGGAACTTCAGGTCTTAGGTACAGAAAACAGGGCAGTGGATAAATCAGCCTTGAAGCATCGTGAGGTAGAGAAGGGCAGGCTTGGAAGAAAGAAGCATGGCTAAGTACAGAGACAGGGTGTGTACCCTGTTGAGGAACAAATCTCAAACAATTATACTTATATCTCCTCAAGACGTCATGGAAAGCTCTGCTTGCATGGCTTTCCTTAATTCATCCAGCTGGAAGCATCTCCTTTTTAATAGCACTCTGGTTGCATTGATCATGCTTATTCTTTTGGTTTTATACATGCTGTTCCTCTAAATTATTAACTACTAGATGGCAGCTGGGATACTGTGTGAACGATGGAATGGTCAGAGCAATTGGGTTTGAGTAAGAGCCTCAGCTTTTAGCTAAGGTGTTTGGGCTCTGCAGCTCTCACATGTGCAGCAAGGACATTCTTTACCTCACGGTGTGATTTGCCTATCATGAGACGCCAGGCATAAAGTAGAGCATAGTGAGCACATGACACATTAAAACCTTTCATTACGTCTACTAACAGCTGCATGATTGACATATCTTTTTTGGCTTGACACACAGTATTCTGATCTTGTGCATAACAAAATGTTGTGACAGGGTAAGTAATTAAAGCCATTTTCGGTTAAGCAGCAGAAACGGGACCCAAATTCTGCTTTGTCTAGCTCCAGAACCAGCAGTGTCCATCACATCAGCTGGAGGAAAAACAAAAAATAAAAAGTAGAAATTACAAGATGATTATTAGTCATAGGCTGCTTATACAGTTTTAGTGGCCTTCAAACCACTAAACCACTATTGATCGCTTGAGAAAGGGTTTTACTGTGTAGTTGTAGCTGGCATGGAACTATTAGACCTGGTTGGCCTACAACTCAAGAGGTTTGTGGGCCTCTGTCATATGAGTCCTGGGACAAAAGGTATGTATCACCACTCAGTCTAGAACAATTTTTAGTCTTATATAGGAGAACCCCAGAGTGATGATCTACTATAGTGTTGCTGATCTGTCTCAAGGAGTTCTCAGTCAACCTTGATTTGTAATTTTTCCCTGGCATGCTCAAAAAGAACTTCCTAATCTAAGAAGCATGAAGAGATTAAAACTGCTGTGCTGTGCCACCATTAAGAACCTTGTACGCCCTGGGCATTGGTGGCACACATCAATCCCAGCACTCGGGAGGCAGAGGCAGGCATCTCTGAGTTAAGAGTCCAGCCTGTTCTACAGAGCTAGTTCCAGGACAGCTTCTAAAGCAAAACAGAAAAAAATCTTGTCTTGAGAAAAGAACGTTGTACACTTAACCAACTGTTACAGACTGGAGAAGAAGCTTCATGTTTTCAGTTTTTCCCTCAAGAGGCAGTCCATATTTTCAAGGATCACAGGAAACCTAAGAGGGAATCTGTACTGGTTCCACGGGGGGAGGAACAAACAAACAAACCGATGGAGAAACATCAGAAATTGAAGTCCTGATACCCGAAATCACAAGAAATCTCATCCTACAACAGGACTTTAAAAAAATCAAGAATAACAGGAAATCGGTAGACATTTCCACACTCTGTGTAGTTGCACGATGGCAGTGATGGTGAAGCAGAGATTAGCCTAGAATGACAAAAGCTGCTGCCGAGTCACTTCCAGGACCGATCCTACCATCGGGTTTTGATAAGGCTCTTACGTAACTGCCGCACGAAGCCGAGCATCTCTCGTTCCTCAGGGTACCCTGGCCCTTAACTATAACCGCATCTGCAGGTCGAGAAGCAAAGGAAGACCATCCGGGTACCCACAACCCATGATGGATCCGAGGCTTGCAGAAGGTTTGGAAGGGCGCTTGCCCTCCCGGCTTCCCGAGCACGTGCTCCCCGGAACACGCCGGCCCCGCCCCGGAGGGGGCCGGGCTCGCGGCTCAGCGCGCCAATAGGAGTGCGCCTTACAGCGCCGTGGCCCGACCACGTCCGGCGGTCCAATCGCCGCGGCCCGGCCGCCCGTTTCCCGGAGCCCCGCCCCACGCGCCGGGCCCCGCCCCTCGGCCCCGCCCTCCGCCCCTCCCCCGCCGATCGGCGCCCAGCCTGCGAGACGGAGAAACTGGGGCAGAAGTGAAGATGGCGGCGGCGGCGCTGGCGGCGGCGGTTCGTCGCCAGTGACGCGCGCTGCGGGCTGCTGTCCCTCCCGGCTCCCCGCGTCCGCCGCGTCCGCCGCGGGGCCCCTCCACCCGCCGCGCTCCGGCCGGGCCGCCCTCGTCCGTGCGCGCCGTGGCCGGCCGAGCGGGCGGCGCGTTGATCCGCCCTCCCGCCCGCCGCGCCGGACCGCCGGGCCGCGGACACACGCTCGGCGGGGAGGCGGCGGGCCCTGCGCGCTCGCGGGCCTCCGTTTGGGGACCCGGAGGAGGAGGAGGAGGAGGAGGACGAGGAGGGGGCGGTGGCGGCGGCCGTGGGTTCCGCGGACGGGAAGGGACTCCCCGGGGGACCGGGCGACGGCGGCAGCGGCTCGTCCCCGGGAGCGGGGCGAGCAGGCGGCACCATGACGTCCATCCATTTCGTGGTCCACCCGCTGCCGGGCACCGAGGACCAGCTCAATGACAGGTAATGGGGCGGCGGCGGGGGAGGGGCGCCTCCCTCCTCCCTCCCCTCCCCCACGGCCGCACCGGGGGCCCTACCGCCCCCTGTAGGCCCGGTGCGGGCCGAACTTGGGGGAGCCCCGGGCCGCGGCGGGGCGGGGGCGGGGGCGGGGGCCGGGGTGGACGCGGCCTCGGTGTAGACGGCCCAGCCGGCGCGCAGCCCGGCCCCCTCCCCCTCCCGCGAGGAGCTAGCCTCGTTGAACTCGGCGGAGCCGGGGCGGCGGTGTGTGAGTGTGAGCGTGAGTGTGAGTGTGTGTGCGCGCGCGCGCGTGTGTGTGTGTGTGTGTGTGTCGGGGGGGGGGAGGTGGGGGGCGCCCGGGCCGGGCGAGGAATCCGTATTAGTCAAAGTTGAATGGAGGCAGACAATGCGGATGGGGGATGGTGGGGGTGGGAAAAGAGAGGGGAGAACCGCGGCGGGTTCGGGGGCTCCCGCGAGCCCGGTCCCGGGGGCCGGGCATCTGCCCCCCTCCCCGAGGGGGAGGGAGGACGAGCGGGGAGGGGCGATTCCCGGCAGACCGTGGGTTGGGAGGGGTAGGAGGCAGGGAGGGAGCGCCATGATTATTGTTATTATTATTAGATTTGAGCCCCTGCAGTGAGGTTGCCTGCCCCGGGAAGGGGTGTGCGTGTGCGTGTGCGAAGTCAGGCGGTGGCTGGGGTGGGGAAGTGGATTGGATTCCCTTTGCCCTTCTTCTAAATGGTCCTGCCAAACTCCTGCAACCCGGGGGCCCCTGCGGTGAGAGCCTTTTTTTGTTTCCTCCTCCTCCTTCTCCTTTTTCTTCTTCTCTCTTTCTTTCTAAAATTCTAATGATAGTGTTTTCTTCGAGTTGTAATTTGACAGCTGAAAACTGCGCGAATAGCCTCCAAGGGGAAAAAAAAGTCTTGGTGTTGCAGTTCGCAATGCCGCTTTCCTTAACACCGCCATGGGTTTCTCGGTTGGGTTTGCTACCAGCAGAGGAGGAGTTTTGATTAAAAAAAAAAAAAAAAGAAAAGAAAAGCCTCCAAAGGCTGTTTTGATTTGCATTCTTCCCCCTTGGCTCTGTCACTGTGACTTGCCTGGTTAGGATATTGAGTTGCAGGGCCACATGCTCTCTGCGACCTGAGATAAAGCAGGAAAAGTTCCTGTACTGTTGCAAAACATGCTCCAAGGTTGAGGGAGGCCTCCATTAAAGCACATCTGGGACCTGAGACCTAATGATGGGCCAAGTGTTTACACGGCAGAAAGTGGGGCGTTAGAAGCGTCCCTCTCCCCGGATGGAGGCCTGCTGGTCCATAGTCTTTTGCATGTGGAAAGCTATCGTTTCCCAGGTTCAGGAGTGAGGTGTAATTTTGCTAAGTGACCGGATGACTTAAGTTTCGTTATGCCCAGGTTGCCATGCCTTTCCCGGAGAGAGGAAGAGGCCCTACAGTGCTGCTGGCCTCTAATGTGTTAGTGTATCCTTACACCCGCCTGAGCTGCAGTCGTTTCTGGCACTGGATGCAGATTTGTCTAATCTTTAGCCATTTTGTGGAACTGAAAATGCTTTTTGAAAAAGATTAACTACTGGACGTTGTCTTATAGTTCTTTAAGAACGTTTTTGTTATAGGATCCTTATTCTGACTTCATTTCATTAGACATTTATTTACTGCTTCAACAACAGATTTTTCTTTTTGTAATCTTAGAATCAGGCTAGTAGTGAGGACAGCTCTACTGCCATTCAGAGAAGTAAGTGTGTTGGTCATGTTTGAGTCTTTTGTCTTGTAACTTAGAAAGTTGAGGGCGTGCTTTCTGTGGTAGTACTGACTTTATGTACCAAGAACTTTAAATAGCCTCTTCAGTTGAGTATGCATTCCAAAACCCTTTGTTGGTGTTACCAACTTTGTATTTGTTATTTATTTAGACAGGATCCTGGCTGTCCTGGAGTTCACTCTATCTGATGATGACCTTGCTTTGCTTACCCTCCTATCTCTACCTCCCTAGTGCTGTGATTCCTGGCCTGAGCCACATTTGGTTTACATAGGGTTAGAATCCAGGCTTCATACTGCTGGCCAGACACTCTACTATGCTACATCTCCTGTGTGTATTGGGCATTGTGATTCATTTTTTTAAAAAGTGTTCCTTTTACTTAGCTGTTGCCATTTTCCAGGGCCAGCTTTGTTTTTGACTCTTCTAGAGTCCATTTACTGTATTAAGAATATTTAGATATTTGTGACTTTTTGCTGTCTGTCTGCCTTCTCTATCTAGAGATAGCAGTCTGGCATGGGGGTCTCTGTGTTGCCCAAACTGTGTTGAACTCAGGATCTTCCTGTCATAGCCTCATATTACAGGTGCTGAGATTACAGCTGTGTGCAAAACCTGGGATGAGTTTTTAACTTTGTTTTTCCTTACGTGTGTATCTGAGTGCCCATGTATATATCTGTACTATGTGTGTGTCTGGTGCAGGAGATCAGAATAGGGCAATGGACCCCTGGTACTGGAGATAAAGGTGGTTGTGAGCTGTTGGCTGTGGGTGATGGAAGTGGAACCCACACCTTAACAAGAGCAGCAAGTGTTGCTAACTGCTACTCCAGTTAAGGGAAAAGACAAGTGACTTTGAGTCATAACATGTTCATCACGGAAACTAGGAGAGTGCCATGGGTGATACTGTAGAGACCTGTTATGCTGCTTATCTGTCATGTGAGTGGCCTGTAGAAGGCATTGTAAGTGCTGAAGTAGTTGCTTTGTGACAGAAGACTCCATTTTATTTAAATGGATGGAATTGGGATCCCCTTGTTGCATTTGCATAGCCAGCAATGTACTGACTGAATCATATTTCCAGCTCTCTAGTGAATCTCCTGTTTACCAGTGTCTCAGACAACAGAAGAACTAGACCCAAACTGTGGTTCTGAAGTCTGAGGGCTGAGGGAGAGCTGGAAGCGCCCGTCCTGCCACCAAGTCCCTGGGTAATGCCTGAGAAGTGAGTTGTGCTCCTCACACAGGTGAATGATTTATGGAGTGATTTCAGAGAGATGCACAGTGAGCTACAGTTAATCTGCACCACACTGCGGGCCCTGACTTTAGATTTGGGATATCTAGACCTTTCCCACTGTCCCAGGCACAGACACCTGCCCCAGAGGTGCTGTGACCCAGTGCTAGACATTTATTCTTCAACTTATATGTCTTTTGTAATATGTAAGAAACAAGTTTTACCTGACAAGTTTTTTTTTTTGTATTTTAAAATTTGGGTGTGGCTTGTGTGTGCCACAACATAGTTTTGGAGGTCAGAGGTCAGAGACAACTTGCTCTGGCTGTTTGCATCCTGAGGATTAAAGTTAGGTTGATAGGCTTGGCATTGGCAGCAAGGGTCTTTACCCTTGGCGCCATCTTGCTGGAATGTGTATATGATACGTGTGTGTGCGCGCGCACGTGCCACAGCATGTGTGTTTGAGGAGTGTTACTTGTGTAGATGATGTGTGTGGGGGTGTACAGGTGTGAGTGCTGCTATAGGACATGCATTTGAGGAATATGTTCTTCTACTGTGGGTTCCATCAGGCTTGCCCAGTGAGAACATAACTCTTGCTGAGCCATGTCACCAGCCCCTTCCCACCAAGATTTTTTATGTAGTCCATACTAATAGTCAGCCTAAGTTTTTACACCTTCTGCCCAGCATCTCTCTCCAGGATAGTTGGTTTTTTTTTTGGGGGGGGGGGAGGGAGTCAGAGCCTTTCTCTACCTTTTCCTCGTGCTAGAGAAGGAAAGGTCCTTTTAAGTGATTTGGAGATGACATGGGTTGTCCTCAGATTATTCCATAGGGTACAGGTTGGTTATAATAATACAAACCAGTTGGCATTGTATGTGGGATTCCTGTGAGTGTTGCCTTTTTTTGCATTATAATGTGTTGTGTAATCAGTTTTAATCAGGCTTGGTGGTCAGAGTTTTTCTATACTAGTTTTCCCTCAGGGAGAAGGCTACAAGATAGAATAGAAAGGAATTTGAAACTGGTAGGCTGAGTACTGGCCTCAAGGTCATGGAGGAACAGTTGAGATAGCAAACACAAGTATTAAGTGTGAGTCTGGAAAATACGAAGAGGTGGTTACTTTGAATTGTTTTTATATGCCTGCTTGGTATTTATACAAAAGTTCTAGAGCTCAGATCCTCCTAGAGTGTCCTCCCACAACTTTCCTCCCCTTCCTCCAGGGTACTGGGGAATTGAACCTAGGAGCCTGGGAATCCTAGGTAAGTGCTAACCCACAGAACATCTCCAGACCCTAAAAAAATAGTACAAATGAAAAACAATATGGGCATGGTGCCTCCTGCCAGCAATCCCAGCTAGCACTTGGGAGAGTGAGGCCCTGACTGCAGCAAGTTTGAGGCTGGCTGAGTCTAATTTTGATTCTGCAGTGAGACAGACCCTCCCTTGCTTTAGTAACAAAACTCTAGACTTAGTCACATGTTTGTCATTTTGAGCTGACAGCAGTTACCTTTCAGGGGACTCCTTCCTGGCAGTATCTGCAGACACTTGAGTGCTGAACCCTGAAGCCATTCGTGCAGGCTTGCTAAGTGGCTCTAGGCCAGAGACTCTTTCTCCGGTCAGAACAAAAGTGTTCCCCACAGCCCAGAATTAACAATTTCAAAATGTCAGCCATGAGAGAGGAGTAACCTGGGCCAAGATTATCTTTAGTGCAGAAGAAAAAACCAGGTTCTTAAGTTAGTTTCAAAACATGACAATTGAAAGCTAAAGTTGAAGTCAGTCCTTTGGTAAATAGGTGTATTTCAGGTTCTCTGGTTTCACTTAGGACAGTGCAGATAGAATTGTCCATTAGAGCCCGTATATGAGTGAGACTTAGGGGTTGGCTAAGTGTAACAAGGCACTGTTGGGTTTTATGTCTTTGCACTCTGAGCAAGAGCCAAAAGGTCTGGAAGGGTGATTGATTGAGAGAGTTGAACAAAGGTGGAGGTGCAGAGGGATTATAATAACTAAGTGTCTGAAGTTTCAGTGGTCCCAAGCC